CGGCCAGAAAGAGTGTGTGACAAAAGGTCTTCCTGGATGGGATCATCCACTCTACCACTTCGTTGGCTCCGCTTTCAACCCTATCCTCCATTCGCGTTATTACAGCTCTATTGACTCCTGTCTCCGAGTAACCCCTCCCCTCTCCAGTGAACCGAATGTGATTGAGATTCCACAATGGATGCTTGACCCTGCTATCGATAATCCAGTAGTCGGTGCGCGGAGCGAGTCCATGTGGAGGCTGGGCGACCTGACTGGGAGTCTTGCCACACACCGGATGTGGAGTCCTAACCTACGGGAGACGGCAAGAGGATCGTAGATTGCCGCTTCGTCGTGCTTCAATGGGCGCGACGTTTCCTCAACTGAACTACCCTTTCGAAGAGAGCATCGGATTTCATGTAGACAAGGACGTGGTAGACACTTATGTCTATTTTTGGTCACACATTGTCTATTCTCGACCAATACCACCTGAAATCGTCGTCATTAGCGGGCGCGACGTCGCACGCGACGCCCACTGGCGCGGTGAATTGCGATCCTTTTGCTACATACCCCTAACCTGTTCGCTGTGATACTCTCACTGCGTTTTTATGTGCGGCTGCCAATATGCCAGGCAAGAGTGTCGCCGAAAAATTGAAATACACCCTTGCAAGCTCTCACACTTGAGGAGGTAATATCAACAGAACATTTTGAAGCACATTTTCGTAAAAGCCCAGCAGTGCGTTTTGCTAGCAGAAATTAAAATTTGTTAGGGCCTTGTATGAATTGTACAAGGAAGCCAACAGTAATGTTACAACCTGTGTAAGGCTCTTCATCCTTAAAAACCATTGCAGTTTTCCATGTGTGTGCCAGAGGTCATGCCATTCCTGGAAAACAAAAACAGCGTGATTCTTGTCGGAATAGAAGCCCACGTGTGTATTCTCCATACAACATATGCACTCATTGAACGAGGCATAGATGTGCATGTTGTGGTGGACGCTGTTACTGCTAGAACACTTGTGGACAGGTGCTGAGGAAGTTTTACCGTTTGACAACAGGTTTTTCCAAATTGTTATGATTTTCCTTCAGAAAGTTTGCTTTCAAACAGCTTGAACGAGCTGGTGCTATCCTGACCACGTCGGAATGTGTGATATTGAGTTTACTGAAAGATGCAGCTCATCCAAAATTCAAGGAAATTCAAAAGCTTGTGATGACTGAGGCTCCTGATTCAGCTCTAATGGACGTGTAGAACGACTGGTACTGTATCAATTTCCACAGCAATAATCTTATAGAAAAAGTGGCTCATGTAATGAGTTAAATTTTTTTCCTCAAAGCTATGCCCAGTATAGAAACTGTTTTAGAACGAAAACACTGTCAATTGAATGAAAAATAAAACAAAATAGGCACTTAAATTCATCGCAAAAAAAGTGCAGAAATTCAAACGAAGCATTCAGAATATAGTGATGCTCCGGGACAGCACTATACTCCGATACTATCAATTGGCTGTTTCACCTCGGCCAGTTTTCTACCAGTTTTTTTCTTGAAGCCATGGATG